GTATAAACTGGAGAGGGGTGGAGTCTTCCCCCAAGGTTATGGGCCCATGCAGGAAAACATTGGGAGTTCTGTCGGGGTGGGACAAGTTGACCAAGGATAGAATCTGCATCATGACAAGAATGGCTGTTGTTTCTCTTTACAGCTATTCATTTACTTTTATTTTTTATTTTTAGAAAACTGGTATATGTTCTGTATACAACATGAATGTAATTCTAGTGGAGCATTTAAGAGTGGGAGGAATTATAAAGAGATCCTTAGTTTGAAATCTGGGGACCTCAATCCCAACCTGTTACATGTGAACAATCATACTCACATGCACAGAGTTCAAACTACTTTATTATGTTATGCCTATAATACAGGAATCTTCCTAGTCTGGCAACTTACTCCTAGGAACAAATAGATAAGTCTTTAAGGAACTTAAGGGGTGAGTGGGTCAGACCTAGCTCTTTTGAGGTTGTGCATGACTCCAGACTAGTTCCACATTTGATCCTTCCTTCCTGCCAGGCTGGGTGCTTCCCAACACAACGATTTCCAATAACTTTTTCATAGCTGTATTTTGTTCAGAATTAAAGGAAGCTGATATTTATCAAACTATGCATTTATTTGTTCTCTGTGCTTTATGTTAAATGGCTAAAAAACCTACTTAGGTTCACACATCTTATTACTTTTATTTATTTATTTATTACATTTGTTTGCTGCCCATCTCACTATGAGTTAACTTTTAAGTATGATTGGTTGACTAAATTATGGTTTGCCAGGTTCACACATGGTGCTAATCTATCAACCACTGGTAAAACTCCTTGGCCTAAAGGTGTGGACAGCAATACGGTACAGGTTAAGAGCAAAGTAATCATAGAGATTATTGTACAACACAGGGGTGGGTTCTACTTACCTCCACTACCGGTTCACAATGGAAGCACGCGTGCATGTGCACACTTCGCTCACGCTTCTGCACATGCGCAGATTGTCCATAATGACATCCGGCTGGGTGGGCGGAGCCTCCCACTGCCATTACTACTGGTTCTCAAGAACCAGACTGAACTGGGGCAACCCAGCACTGGTACTTCATGATTAAAAACTTTCAGGATTTTTGAAATAGCTTCATTCCCCATCCTTTCTAATAAAGTTGTTAAATAATTCAACTGATCATTATTCTTCTACAGAATAATGTATTCTTGTGGAAGGAAAATTGGTGTAAGTCCAAATAAGGAAAGATTTTCAACTGATTCTACTCACAAAATATAATTGACAAAGTAGCAGGCAGACTGAAATGATCCTGTATGTTCCAATATTAAAAGACCCTCCAGAAATTATAAATATTGGGACATAAAAGACACCAGGGTAATGATACATAAATAAGTAAAAAGTCTGCAGTTAAGACTGGTATAAGCCAGTAATTTCTCACAACAGGGCTAACTGTGAGTTCTGTACAAAGAAAAGGGTTGCTTTCAACTTTAAAGATCACACTAAATTGCGATGAAGACACCAAACTCAGAATTTTTTTATTTTTTTATTTTTAATATTATGCGGCAAATTAAATAAATATAATTATAAAGCACCAGCCTATCAAGATTGTGTTGCCACTTAAAATTCAACTGGTACTGATGCAGTTACTTATAAGTAATTCTTATTAAATGGCAGTTCTGAATAAACAAGTAATTCCATTGTTAAGAGATATATATATATAGAATAATCAAACTGGATCAAAACGTTAAATAGCTACATTTGTGTACCAAAAGAAATACTTCTATTATAAAGATGGTAGGTTCATTTTAAGGTTACCATCTTTCAAATGTCTTAGGCTATTTGAAATAAGTTACATATGGTAGTCCTTGACTTACAACTACGGTATAATGGAGCCTACCGATCATGGCCATTAGTTGTGATGATTGTAAAATGCATCTTTTCATGTGATCTTTTTTATGATAATCATAAAGCGGCCACCATGGTCATTAAGTGAACCCATGGTTTTGCTGAAAACTGGAACTGCTGATTTTTGACAAAACTGTTGTAAAATGTGATCATGTGACCACAGGATGTTAAACAGCTATAAATGTGGCAAGGATGTTGAGTGCCTGATGTTTGGTCATGTGACTGCTAGGGGAGGCAACCATCAGACTTACAATCTGAATCGTAAGAGATTCCAGGTAGGCCCATTAAATCTTAAAATGGTTGCCATGCAACATTAAGACAAGGACTACCTGTAATCAGGCACAGATACAAATACAGGTAGTTCTCATTTAATGACCATGATTGGGACCAGAAATTTGTTAAGCAAAGCAGTTGCTGAGTGAAACTGCAACTGTAGTTACAATCTTACTTCAGCCTTCCTTTGTTTATAGACCTGTAAATCTTGCAAATGCAAGATTTGATCGTAAAATTATTTTTTCATCGGTGTCACAATTGCAAATGGGCTAAATGAGGACTATCTGAAGCATTGACTGAATTCACACACAACTCCAAATAATTATGAATTTGCTCATTCTAGAAATCAATCGTGAGATGGGCAGCTATATATAAAATTTAAAAATAAAACAAAATGTTCGATTTTCTCTAAAAGATTTTAAGGATATTTTTTTTAAAAGCAGGCCTGGGCTGCTCTGCCCCCACCGTAATTTGGTGGAGGGGAGGGAACACAGGAGAAAGGTGGAGAGAGAAAAAAAGCTGGAAGAGTTACAACAGATTGAGCAAGAGAAAGTTCTCTGTAAGTGATCAGTTCAGACTTCTGGCACAGAAGAGTAAAAATGACAGATAGGAGAAAACCCTTTCTACAAATGATAAGTTTAGGCCTTTGGCTGACAGAAGACAGTGGAAGACTGGATTCAAGCCATAATGCAGTTTATTTGGGTTTGACTCATATCCTTCAGCTGACAGAAAACTTTTTATATACATGAAATCTGCCGTCCCCATTACAGATGTTGCCTGTTTCAGGTTAGCACAGTCCCCTTAATCTCCTCTAGCTAGACAATTTTATAGGCCTTGTTGCTACCGTTGGAAGAAGTGGGAAGAGGAGAGAAAATAGAGCTTTAATCCCAGAATGAGTAATCAGAGGAAGGCAGTGCTATATGGGAACAGGGAAGAAGCATACAGGATATGCTTGCATTATGTTTAGGTGCAAGTGGAGAAAACCTTTCACCTTAATACACAAATTCTGCTAAATTAAGAGGAGGAAAAGTAGTTCTCTAATTTGGTTTTGCTCTTCTGCTGCTTCCATTTACAGATAGTCCTCGATTTACAACTACGAATGAGGCAACAATTTATGTTACTAAGCAAGGCAGTTGTTAAGTGAATCACATGGTCATTAAGTGAATCCATTCCCTCCCCACTCTGCTTGTTGAAATCTAGTTGGAAAGGTCACTAATGATAATCACATGGACCCAAGGGGCTCCAACTGTCAAAAATACATACCTGTTGCCAAGTGCCTGAATTTTAATCACGATTGTGAGGAGACTTGTGATGTTTGTGTAAGGACCAGTCATAAGTCACCTTTTGAAGTTTCCGTGTAACTTCAAACAGTCACTAAATGAATGGTTATAAGTTCAGGACTACTTGTACTCCATGGACTTATTCTTGTGTACCCAACAGAAAGATGGCCTTGAAAAACAGGAAAAACAAATCCAATCTCTGTTTGAAATGTTTTTTAAGCGTCTTTTCTTTTTAAAAAAGGAAATTAACAAAGAACAGATATAATTAGAATTCAGCCAGATTTATTTACCAAATACTTGAAAAGTATTTTTTTACTCAAAGGACAAGATATATGAGTCACCTGAAGGCAGGTGAAAACTATAAAGATGTTCTTTTTTTTAATGACAACTTTTGAAGATTGTGCCTTCATCAAAGGGGGACGTTTTAATTTCAGTCCTTTAAAACACCCTTTTTTTTTTTCATTTTTCAATCCCAACACTTTACCCCGCTTTGCAATCCTGAAAACCCCTCAGGTGAAAAACCTGCGTCTCATGGGACCACAGCAATGAACTCCCAAGTGCACACAATGGCAGCGCTTATATTGTGTGCGGAAGCCCGTCGCAACACGCAGGTTATTTCGTACTTCACAGGTAAGATACCCGAGATGCTTTCTTTGAACCCAGCCAGCAAAAGGACAACCCCACAGATCACGCAAAACAACGTGCAGCAGCAGACAGATGTCAATTGCATTTTTCCCCCTTCGGCCGACTGACTCCATACCGCTCCCCCCACCCCTTTGAATGTCATGCCCCGGCCTCCCCCACCCTGGCTTCCAGCTCGCCTTGTTGATCCTGGGAAAAGAGAGGGGGAGGCGGGAATGCCAAAGGCCGGGGCTCTAAAACCCGGCCTGCAATCCTGCTGAGCCCCTTCCTGCTAATTGGTCCCAGATAGTTGTGCTTTTTTACCAAGCAACAGGAACTTTGGCCGCCCGGGGTGGGGGAGGGTGAAATGCGGGCAGGAACCGAGGAGGAAGAGGGGGGGGGATGGAAATGGGGTTGCTGCGGTGAGTTGGCCGCGCCCGGGGGTGGGTGGTGGGTGGGTTTGGCTTAAGCTGCGGAGTCTCAGCCGAGCCTTGCCCTGCCCTGCCGTCCAAATCCGACGGGGTGGAGGAGAAAAGGGGGAAGACGCGACGCATCCATTTGCAACCTGGAAACTCCTTCCCTTCCCCCAGCACGAGACTGGCTGCTCAGGGTAAAGGCGGCCTTAGGGAGAACCGCGGAAGGCGGGGACTGGGGCTGCTGGCTTCCAATGAGCTCAGCCGCCTTGCTTTGCCTTGCCTGCCCGGCGCTACTGGAGGAGTCTCGGTCGAGAGACTCTCCGAGAGACCCCGAAGCGCCTTCTTAAGAGGCGCTGGACGGCCAAGCCAAGGCGGTAAGTGCCCGCTCGCACAACGACGGCGGAGACGACGACAACAAGCAGGGCGCTTCCCGAGCTTCCCGCTTTGCACCGCTAAAGGCATCCGCCCTGATTTCCCCCGCCTCGGTGTTTACAGCCTTTCCGATATAGAAATAGAGGTAAACGTGTCTATTGAATGGAAGCAAAGCGGGTCGAAGTTTCTGGCTGGGGCAAAGGTGCGGGAAAGATTTGAGGCTCCCTGCTTTCCGCGGCGGTGAATTCGGGGGTGCCGTCTCCTCCGGCTTGCAAAAACGCGGACGACCACGAGGCGGCAAGGAAGCTTTGGCGTTTTTACTGCTCCTTTTTGCTCACTTCTCGGGATTATTTATTCGCAGACCGACCGGGTAGCCCTCTGGGAAAGGTGGAAGCCCAGGTGAGGGTGGAGCTGGGGAAAAAAAAAAAAGCTGCTCTAAAGCTGCGCGTATCGGATTCCATTGTGGGCACCGTAGGCTGGCATGGACGCCGAGGTTTTCAAGGGCCTATAGGCGGTGCGGGGCTGGCGAAGCTAGAGGCAAAAACAATTTTGATCTTTACCACACCGGCGCCAGAGGAAATCGAAATGACCACGACGTGGCGTTCACACGGGACTCGGGAATTTGAGGAAAAAAACGGGATCTCCTCGCCCAGAGGATGAGTCATAGACTTGATAAACTGGGTTTTGTGGAATAGCCAGTGTTATAAAACGGGCTGCGTGGTACATAGGGACAAGGTCAGTGGTTAAAGGAAAGAAGAGTTCTTGGGTGGCATGTGTGCCCAATTGTCAAAGGCATCTCCTGAGTGTCACTTCACAGGTGGCAATTTTTATACATGGCTGGAGGAATGTTACAACTTAGTTGAGCATGATAGAAGTCAACCTGCATGTGTGGGAAAACAGACCCAGGATTAATTGTTGGAGGTGTGTTCTATTTGTGGATGTGATTTTCCTAGGGTTGTTTAGGAGGATCATAAAACAGCACAGTTCTAAGAGAAGTTGGCAGCAAGGTTTAGCCAGGGTCACTTCAAATTTGTGCATTTCTCTTAGAATAAAGAACCTAAGGCCTAGGCAGAATGTTTTTAATGTCATCACTGAGTAATCTCCAGTACTGTCATCCTAACTCCCTTGACATTAGAAAGCAAGAGTTTAACATTGGAAAGTTATTTTTCAGGTTAAACATTGATCGCAGGAGTATGCTTCTGTATGTTCTGTTAGGAAATAGGATATAGGGCAGAGAAGGAGGTAGTTAATACTGTTGTATATTGATCATCTTGGAAAAATAGGTTTAAGGAAGATTGAGGCAGCTGGTGGTATGGTTTTTTTTAAAAAGGAAGGCTAAGCTTATAGTGGTGTTTCCAAATGGAAATGTTCCAAATAGGCTTTTGTGTGAAAAGGTGAAATAATATTTTTTGACAGAGAAGTAAGCAAGCACATTTTATTTTTTCCTCTCAGTTAAGTGTGCTTATTGTGTACCCTATATACAAATGATGATGTCTGTGTATGTGAAAATATTCAAGATTAAATGTTGTTTTGCAACATAGACAACTTACTTTGTATTGGCCTTTATCAAGTAAATGTCATCTGTAATTAGAAGTCGAAAGGTACAAAATCAAGTGGCATGTTTCTACCTTGGTTTATTTGTCTTTTGACAGTTAGAAAGATGAATGTAACAGAGTTGTCCATTGAGGGTAAGGAAAAAGAAGGGATAATCTGGGCAAAAGGGAAGGTGAGGTAATCCTGTTCTCAGTAAAACCTGTGGATTTAGTCCAGGTTTAATATATAACTTACTTCAACGTAAGTTTTATGTAAAACCTTTCTTTTCTGTGTATTGTTGAACAGCCTATTTGCTCAAACAAGTTGAGTCAAGCATGATTTTAAGGCTGTGTTAATATATTGTGCTAAGACAGAATGTGGTTTGTTTGGTTTTGGCTTACGTTAGTACAGGCATTATCTATTGTAAATCATGTCTTAGGGCATGCTCTTAGAACCTAGCCATTTGTTTCCAATAAACCATGGCTTGTGTAGTGTAATATGTGAATTCCTTTTAATCCAATTCTTTTTCCACAAATATCCCTGGCATTGTCTACCGTATCTTTGCAGCAGTTGAACTGCAACTCTTTGGGGTGTCATTCCAATCCATTGAACAGAGACCTGCAGTGAAGCAAGCAGAACAATATTTAATAAACTGGCTTCATTTTTATGTTATACATTGCCAGGTTTTCATTGAATGCTTTCATTATTATTGGTGTATTGTTAAAGACAGAGATTGCTTTTACTGTGTACTGGGGATTCTTCTCATTCTACCATTTTTTAAACATACAGTACAAGCTGGAGCTGGTCCTTTCACTCAAAATACCTAAACCACTTAGCCACAAATCCTTTACTTCGCTGCTGACAGTCCCAGTAAAAGCAGAGGTGTCAAACTGTTGGCCCGCAGGCTGGATATATCATGCATAGGCCACACCCACCCCAGCTCCGCGAAGGGAAAAAAATGTTGCGATACATGATGTGGTGGCAACGTGATGCACGTTTGACACCCATGCAGTGGTTGGTTCAAGGGTTGCCATTTTAGGAATATTTCCTCCAGTTGGGAGTCATAACTGATAAGCACTTTTGTTGGAAAAGCACTGACAAGGCTTTATTACATCAATACTTCCTTTTCCCCATTGGCCAGTAGGCAGTAGAGATCATGAGTATAGTCTGCAATCGAGACTTGGAAGGTATTGCCTTGATACCCTGTTTTGGAGTGGAGTGTTTTTTGAGCCAGACTTGGACTGTGTCCTACAGACGATATAATCGACTAGGAAAGGATAGTTTGACTAACAATTGCTCTTGGCCCAATAAGTACATGAACAAGCTATCCACACCTCCCTTTCCCAGTTGTTTTAAGTGTGTTAAGTGAATTAAGTTACTGTCCATATACTAAATTGTGAATTGTTTAATGATAGAACAATGAACCAGAATTGTTTTACATTCATGCCACTTGCTAAGCCATGATTTACAAACTGCAGTGACTGAGTTCACATCACATGGGCAATCACAAACAAGCAGACAATATTATAACTGAATATATTGTGTCACAACAACCATTGTCTCCTAATGGTTAAATGTTTTATATATACCCATTTTAGAAATGTTCACTGAGCACATATTTTACATGTAAATAATGTCAAAGTCAATCCTTGTTGTCCTACCATAGGGCAAGAAGTATTTTACCTGAAATACCAGAGAGCTATTGGCTATGTTTTTCAACATACTTACCACAGTTAATTTGACCAAAGTTTAGTAATTAGTTCAGTTGCTTGAGTTTACCCAATATATGTCAGCTAATCAAGCTGGATTTTCATAACACATTGTGCCACATATTGGCCAAACACATTCTGTTCTTGCCTGTTGAGTGTTCTCAATCTCTGCCAAGCAGAGTTGACAGTGCTAAACTAGATAAACCAGTGCCTGCCTTGGTATAAGGAGGGATCCTATGACAGCAAATAAACACCGTGAACTAATCCTGGTAATTTTCAGAATTTATGGTTACATAGCTTGAATCTTTAAAACGTTTTGTATATAGTTCGATGCTAATCCATCTCTACAAATTCATATGATCACCAAATTGTTCATGGGAGACTATTGAGGAAAAAAATAGTTTGTCAAAAGCTACCTGATTAGCAGTAAGTTGGAGACTCTGTTTATACTTTAGCTCTTAAGACTAGCTGTCAGTACAGAAACTGTTATTGTGGGTGCAGCAACTATTAATACTTATTATGGAATGTTTCCCTAGATAACACTGAAGTTTTGTTGGTGATACTCATAGTTCTTTCTTAATACTGTTCTGTCATATATAGTTATGACTCCATTGACTTCTATTGTATATGGATAGCAGTACATACTATCTGACAGTAGGATATCCAAAGTCCCAAGATTAATAAAAGTGGAAAAGATGAATAACAAAATCTTAATTTCCAAGAATTGAGATTTGAAAAATTATTTGTATGTGATATCTAAATCTGGTTCTCTTTAAACAGGGTTGAGCACCTTGAACATAATAGAAGTGCTAACACTTAACAGAAGTGCTAAAGATGGGATACTACAATAAAGTTTACAGCTACCATATTTGGGCTCCAGAATCTGGGGTACAATTGGATGGCAGCAGAGAGTATGTGTTATATATAGTGCCATCTTGCGGTCATCTGAATTTTACAGCTCAGATATGGTAGCGGGCAGAGCAGTGTTGTGTTCATTAGCGGCTCAGGGATCTTTTTTTCCTCTCTGGAAATCAGGGTGGTTTGTTTGTTTGTTAAACAATACTAAATCTACATTAACATTTTGGCTTTTAGGTGTTCCCCCCATCCCCCCCAAAATGGAATGAAACAATAGTGCTCAGATGGAGTTATTTCACTTTAAAATAGTAGAAGCCAAGGTAACTGTCAGCTTCTCTGTGAATTATAAACTGTTATAATCCATTTTGAAGAAATTTGAAAGACAAATGTTGAGCTCATCATTTAACAAGGTTTTTAGAAACTTAATTTAAAATATTCCCAAATGATTGCTAGCCTGTTTCCCCCAAAATAAGACATTCCCTGATAATAAGCCCAATCGGGTTTTGAGTGCATGGCAATAAGGCCAAGTGCTTAGTTCAGGGTTCAAAAAAATATAAGACAGGGTCTTATTTTTGGGGAAACATGGTAATTGAAATTTATGTTGGATACTGATTCAAAATCTGTACATGTTATAAAACTAATTAAATTGTAAATGATACTGAGGAGTCAGGCAATTTCCTTGGTACTAGTTTAGTGTAAACTAAGTGTTGTGGTTTATTTGAAAACAAATTTTGGGTTAAGATGATGTGTGAATCCCAGTGATGGTTTAATATATAAAGCAAATTGTTGCCCAAACCATGGCATCTTAATTAAAATCTAAATGATCAAACCTTTAGTTCTAAGCTTCATTGAACTAAAATAAAAGCTTTAATTGGAATTGTGTTTTCCCTCCTTTTTTCACGTTTTCTCCATTTTTCCTATTGTGGCAACAACAAAAATGACCCATAAATATTTGGGTTGAAGGTTTTCTGCCTGGGGAAAACATACTACTTTACCAACGTGTTTATTAAAATTTCTTTCTAATAGTATGGTTCTTTTGCTTACTAGGATCAAAAGAAGTTACCATTGCTTCAGTGGTGAAATCCATTTTTTTTACTACTGGTTCTGTGGGCGTGGTGTGGCTTGGTGGGTGTGGCAGAGGAAGGATACTGCAAAATCTCCATTCCCACCCCACGCCAGGGGAAGAATACTGCAAAATCTCTATTCACACCCCACTCTGGAACCAGCCAGAGGTGGTATTTGCCGATTCTCTGAACTACTCAAAATTTCCGCTGCCGGTGCTCTGGAACCTGTCAGAACCTGCTGGATTTCACCCCTGCATTGCTTTGATTGTGTTTGTTAGTGTGTATGCACATGTGCATGCACATACACAAACAGTGGTGCTTAAAGGCTTTTGAACCCTTTTGAATTGTCAATATTTCTACACAGATATGATCTAAAATATTATCTGTTCTGTGTTTAAGTCCCAAGACTAGATAGATAATCCAATTAAATAAATGAGACCAAAAAATACATACACACATGCACAAACACATAGACAAAACCATTATGTGCTTTATCTAGCTGTTCCATTAAAAAAAAATCGGGCAGAGTAGACTGAATTATCAACTGTTTGCAGAATTTGTCTGTCAGCTATAA